ACTGGCAATTTGCAATCGAAAGATCAAGCTCCTATAATATTTCTTAAAAAGGAAATTTTGAACAGCACCTTTCTTGAATTTCGTCAAAACAAATAGCTGTTGATGAGAAATGTCAAAATAATGAGTTCCTACCACAGCCTCAGCACACGTTTACCAACGTCCGTGAAATGAATGCTTATCATTTCTGCATGTAAACTCATCAATCACGCATCCTACTTACTTTGGCATGAATGAGAATTAAAACAATAGGTGGTCTTATAACGTATCCTCAGGACACTGAGGAACACGATTTCTACAGGAAACGTCTTGAACATTCCTGATAGGAATAAACATTAGTAAAGATCTTCGTTACTTCCAGTAAACAAAAATGCGCAGACATTGAGCATCACTCGCAAGCATTGATTACCTCTTTCATAATCATTCAAGAATTACAGTTGTATAATTTCTTTCTTTGCGTTTCATTATTCATTTATTTATTGATTCGGTTTACATCACAGTATTGAAGTTTGAAATTTTCTCATGAATGTCGGGGAGTTTTAATATTGAATAATACGGTATTACATTTGGTTTATTGCTACAATATGATTAGAATCTGAATAGTTCAAGATGTCTCAGAGTAAATGTTACAGATACCTAAGGCGTGTAGATGGGTCGAAAATTATTACTGTTTGTCAGTGAATATATAGTGGTTTCGTACAATTGAGTAACACATGTGGCATTAGTTGCAACATGTTCAGCAAGTTGCAGAAAACTTTTTATCTACAAGTTATATGAAGCCGCGAGAGGGGTTTTAACGCCAAAGTGAGCCGTATTATAAGATAGTATTTTATGAGAAAAAAAGAGGAATTTTGAAGAAAAAATATTTTCCAACAAAAATCAGAAATTGAACGAATAATAAACACTATTGAATGAGCATTAACTAGTAAGCATTAAACTAATATGAATTATTTTTAATTGGAGAAATTTAGTATTCATTGGATAAAACGAATTATCTTTTGTATATGATAAAATTTTCCTAATTGCTGCTTCGCGAAGAACTGGGTTAGGAGTACATGTAGAATGACATGGCAGTTGTGAAGCCAAGAGCCACTAGTAGTGACAAACATATAATAACAAACATTTTTTTAGAAAACCCACGTGTTAATTCAAATTTTGTGTACTTAAATATTTTTCTCAGCTATCTAGATTTGAAAGAAAAACAATGTACATTACTGTGAAAAATCATTTCTTCACCAAGATGTGATCATTGACGACGTGCGTAAACATAATCATGACTTTTTACTTTCTCGCTCGGGCTTCCTGCTCACGCTCGTAGAGAGAAAGTAATGTAACGAAAGTAATGGCAATTGACGAATGTAACGAAAGAACGGCAAATTATCGGCCGAAAATCTCATTGCTGGGCCTTTGAAAACGAAAAAGTGGATACATCCAGTTGCTAAATTTGAAAACAAAATTTGAAAACAAAAACACGTGGTGTAGTCACAATCCATGGTTTCTGGGTCCTTGCTACGTAAAAATCGATTGTCGGCAAAACGTCTATCCGCCTGCCTTTGAACAACGCTAGTGGCTAAACCGTTCAGCCGATTCTCTCAAAAATTGATATTCCCTAATCGATGTAGTTGATGTCGCAGTCCCTTGAATGTAAAACGGAAATTTTAATTTTGGGGGTTCTATACATGAAACCCCTGGGACATTTTCAAATTGAAAAAAATGGTTCCAAATTTTTTATTAAACTTTGCTATTGGATAGTGTGAAGAACGTTTAAGAGAGTGATGCTGATCTCATGTTCGTTGAAAACACTGCTTTTTAGAAAATTGCAAAAGTGCAACATCGTTTTTTCATCATCTTCCTACAATTAGAAAATTAAAGAGAGATTTTTCCCTTATTGAAATCTGTTCCTTAAAGATATAATTTGAAATAAGGTCATATACAATATTTCGAAAATTTGAGTTTTACAAATAGTAATGACTAAGATGTGTTAATTCGGAGAGAAATTGCGGGATAAATAGTATTATGTAAGGATTACGGAAAGGGAGGAAATATGTGATGTTTTAGCACCACTAGTTATTTATAGTAGATAACTCAAAAGGTCTATTATTTTTTTTCGCATGAATTATGCATTTTCGACTTCCATTCAAAATCTTGTGGCGTACTATATGATTCAGAAGTAATCTTTAAAATGTGTAAAGATATTTGAAAGTCGACTCACCATTAAAATATGGCTCATTAAGAAATATTTTGTCGCACGAGTTTACAAAAGAATATAAGTGTCGATAAACAATGACTATTTAAATTGAATTAATACAACTCAAGGCTATGGCTCGAAGAGAAGTTCAGTTCATATTTTGGTTTGATGGTGGACATCTGAACCATTAGTATTTCTTCTGGATTGGCACTCCAGCTTACGTTCTTAACTTGATACTTACTGGCTTGGTGCTCCAGTTCTTCAAGTAACTGGGAATGTTTCTTTCAGAGGCGTTCATAGATTTATGGCTCCGCTACAGAACATATGCAAATAAAAACTCATAATCGCAGAAAACATTTAAAAATCACGAGACATTTTTATATTTGTACGTAAGCTTCCGCGGCTCGAATCCATGAATTCTCGGCTGTCCGGGAGACGCCGCGTCGTTGGCTGGGGTGCCGACGTTTCGCCCGACATTACAATTCGTCACTACCCTGAGGAAGCCTGCGAAATGTCGGGCGAAACGTCGGCACCCCAGCCAACGACGCGGCGTCTCCCGGACAGCCGAGAATACATTTTTATATTATTATAGTGATTGATAGAACGGGGTCTCTGAAGATTTCAATGATATTAAATGTAGAGTAAAGTGCCTATTTAGCGTCGTTCGTCGTCCCTTCTGTTCCTGGGCCGATCTCCACTCAGTGAGTTGGTATTCGTAGTTTCCATGCAAACGTGTTATTTACACGTCAGTTCACTACGAAAAGAGTGGTGTTCACATTGGGAGGTGACAAAAAGCTACAGAGGACTTTCTGTTTTTGAGTGAAAATTCAGTTTTTCACTCAAACGTATTCAGTTTTCGAAATTCAGAAATTATTTTTGGGACATGAAACTAATAATAATAATAATAATAATAATAATAATAATAATAATAATAATTATTATTATTATTATTATTATTATTATTATTATGGTTACTATTATTGCTATTATTTATTATTATTATTATTATTATTATTATTATTATTATTATTATCTAGACGTTAGTTCTGTGTATCTGCATATGGTGTCGTTAAAATTGGCCTACAGCTGCAGATGTTTCTTCTCCGAATTTTTATTTGTAAAAAAAGACCACGCGCGTAATTTCCGTAATCCTTTTTGTGTCTCTAAGTCTGTCCCCGTTATGGCATTACAAACTCTGTAATAAATTGGGCATTCTTTATGTAGGGACTGCTTCTTTTGTTAAGAACAGTTCTCCAAAAAAAAGATACAAACAACGACGGCAGCTGGAACAACAACAACAACAACAACAAAAACAACAACAACGATGTTTTGTTTCAAATGGATGCACAAGAATTCCACCTGTGTCCGAATTGTCAAAAAAAGGATATATTGTCAAAGATAATATCAAAAAAATATTGTGTGATTTCTGAACATGTGGGAAAGAGTTACGACCATGATATCGTATATGATATCAATTATGCAAAAAGTAAAATTATTTTTGTGAAGTTTTTCTGAGATATGAAAGGAAGTATATTCTCTAATTGTGTAAGTTGCATCGGTTATACTTGAAGAGCAGTGTTCATTTAATTTCGTAAAGCTCTTCAGTCTAATCACCAAATGTCGTGTAATGTGTTTAACATTTGTAATAAATAACCATTTTTATGAAATATAGCAATATCACACGTTTTGGCTTTATTGTCATTTGGAGCTTCCTACTCGCTTGAAACTGAGGGGCGAAATTAGAAACAATGTTTTTGCGAAGTGAAGGATTTCACTATTTATTATTTTCTTTATTTTACGAGCAGGAAGTGATATTTGACTTTGTTGAAATGTTCCAAGCTGCTAACATGAATTTCCAGATTTTTGGGTTTGTTTTGTTTATGAGGAATAAAATACAAGAAATAGTTTATGGGGAGGATATTTGATGATCTCATCCTACTATTTTTAAAATCGATATCCCAGTCCCTGAACGTGATTGTGTATGCGAACTGTTTTCCCTTTTTGTATATCTGGGCATTTAAAGTCATGAGCATCTGAATCATAATTTTGTTTAATTACACACTGTAGCGAATATTTAAAAATGCAATTATTAAGGAATATTGTTTCGGACCAATGTCGTGAAATGCTGAGAAAAATGTCTTAATCGAAATTTAAATTGTTTGGTGTTGACTTTATTTGTTTTACCAAAATTATTGGTATACCGAGCGTCAATAAGTTTGAATTTAATACCTCCAAACACGGAGAATTAAGAGAATTTTCAAATGGACTCATTGAAGAGTCGTCGGCCGTATGTGAGTTGTGGAGAGTCAATGTGGTCCTTTGCATCGCTGCGTCCCTTTCACTCGAACCGATTCCAGGGCAGTGATTCATTAGGCGCTGCAAAAGGCTGCAACCCGCCAGACCCTCGTGCGGGCGGCGCGGCGCGAGCGCGGGTGCGAGCGCGGGGCGCGCGAGGCTGAGGCACAGGCGGCGCCTAAAGGGGATTTTCGCGGGCGGAGCCACCCGCTGGGCTCCTACGTGCGGAGCCGCCGCCGCCACCGTCTCCCCCTCCAGCCGTCTGCGCGCGCCGTCCCCCCGCCGCTCGCCCCCCGCGCGGCCCGGCGCTCGGGCTAGACGCCATAGCAGTATACAGTCCCCCTCCGTCGGCGCGTCTCCCCCTCCCGGGAGCCGGTCGGCGAGAGCGTGACGTAGCCGCCTGGGACCGCTGCGCCGCGCGGGACGGGGGTGGCGGCAGGGGGAAGCGGTGGTGCGGCGCGGCGGGGTGGGGCGGAGGGGAAGCGAGGGCGAGCGGAAGGGAGGGCGGCTCGTGGCGGGGAGGGGAGGGGCGCTGTCTGCGGCGCGCCGGCCGGGCCCAGCCGCCACCCAGTTGGTTTCCCGCCGTCGCGCGAGAGAGAAGTGCCAGGACTCGCGCTCGGCCGGAAGCGTAGTAAGCGAGCTGTCATTGTGAAGAGACGCCGCTCTGCGTAGCAGCCGCCCCGTGGGCGTTATTGTTGTTCGCCCCAGCGCCCAGCAGCCTCCCGCAGCCTCGTGGAGTCGCTTCCGAGGCCACAGCACCTGCACGTCGGCCGGGCCACGCGCCGCCCGCCACGCGCCCAGGCGATCGAACTGCCGCACGTGGTGAATGAAGTTGATAATGTAAGCGGTCGTGTGCTCAACGTCGCCGACCTCTGTGATTAGCGAAGTCGGCGTTATCATTTACGCAGAACTGTGTTGGAACGGTCGGTGAACTTTGAACTATGAGTACGGAGAAGCACTCCCGAGGGAACGTCATCGTGAACGCAATCGCAAAGTTTCTCAAGATCGGCACACACGCCAAAGCCAAGCGAAAGGTAAGGAGCTGATGTGGGCTGCGTGCCGAAGGCGTACGAATTACTAGCAGAGGGTGCGTAGGGAGCGCGTGGGGGTGCGTGGGGAGAGTCGGTGGCCTTGTTGCTGCGGGAAGCGGGGGCGACGCGCTGCGACCTTCTCTTTACTCTTGCGTGTACGTTAATACTAGCGCAATTGTCGTTTCACGAGACATTAACTCGGCTCGATAATTTGAAAGTGCCGTCGTAAAAGAATGATGAGTTAACGATTCTTTACACAAGAATTATTGCTGATAATGCTCTCGAACTGGATCTGATAATAAGTAAAATATTATCAGGTAATTAAGAGGCGAGAACGGCAGTGTTTACACGGCCGTGCGTGGGTGTGGTGCGGCTACTAGGTGAGTTACTATTGCTGTGTGAAACGCTCTCTATTTGCACTGTAGGCGAGGGGGTGGGGTGGAAGGCGCCTCGGATCAGTTACCACACCCCGGTGGGTGGGCGAGCGGGAGGCTGGCGGCGGCATCGCGGGCGGCGGCGCGTGCGGCATGCGCCGTTGGGAAACTCCTCGCTCCGGCTTTCCCGACTTCCGCGCTGCCGCCGCCGCCGCACCCCGCCCCTCCCGCCACGCCACGCCCCGCCCCGCCCCGCCTCGTTCCGCCCTGCCCGCGTCCAGCAGCCCCTTCCGCGCCGCTGTGTTTACTTCCCGGCCAGGGGTTCTCGGCCGGGGCTGCGGCCCCCGCTCCGCCGCGCTTCGCTCGCCTGGGTGCAACGGCCGGAGGGTGGATGCAGTGTGCGTGATGTATGTGCGTACGCGGTGCGGGCGGGGAGGAGGGAGGAAAGGGCCGGCGCATGGAGGGCGGCAGAGCAGGCGGGGCGCGGCGCGGCGCGGCACGGCGGTGAGCTCATGCGCAGTAGGGGCCGTTCGGAGGGCGGCCTGTTGGCCCGCGCACGGAGCCTGTTTTCTGGAGAGCTGGTAACCCAAGATGCGAAGTATTTTTCTTTTTTATCATTCGAATCATTCCGGTTTTAATAGTAATTCTCACATTTTGTATCGCAAGAAATAAGAAATTTAAAGAATTTGAATTAAACGCCTTGGAAAAGTACAGTACATTACAAAACCCGTGATATTTTTATTAAAGAACCGGCGAACATCTGCGGAATGCCGCGGGAGGCAGCTCCACGCACGCTTTGCTCGGGTGGAGGGATTGCGTGGGAGGCGGTGGCGGCCCTTGGCCGTAGAGGGCCTTTGCGAACTGGGCGTGGGGAAGCTCGCGTGTGGCCGGCGAACGCGTCTGACGATGTGGGTCATTGTTCCGCCGTCTGCCAGCGCTGCGTCGGCCCTGTTGGCATGGCCAGGCGCGGCCAGGCCCGCTCGGACCACCGCGCTGCGCCGGCCATCCCTGCCAGGGCCCCAGGCGGCGTGCGCCGCTGGCTGTCAAGAATTCGCCGCCTTCGGAATTTCGTCCTCAGGACTCTTGTTCACCTTTCCTCAAATTTGCTACAAGAGCAGTTCCATAGAATGTCACTTGGCGGGACTCTGCAATCCTCATATCGATCCTGCCCAGTATAAATATTTCAAGAAGGGCCCATCGACGAATCTTCCGCACGTGCGTACCTCGTTACTCCTTGTTCGAGAACTTGATAAGAATCAAGTTTTTGGCTGAGTAGCCATTGGTATATAGCGATTGGTTTGCAGACGAAGGAAAGATTTTTAATCCACAGCATGAGACTCATTCTTCAGTTCTTTACGAAGCGGTTGTCTGGATACAACTAATAGAAAATTGTAAGGCTTTTCGTTTTTCTTACCAGGTCTTCCTTTTTAACCGAAGGCAGATCCTATACATTAATTATTCTGAAGTGGTTCCTGGGATACGTTTCGCCAAGGAATAAATATTGAAAAACATCGCTGATCATAAGACTATGAAAACATAAATTTTATTACCAACTAAAATTATGGAAAAGTCGTTTGAAAAATATTTGGAGCAAGTAGAAAAATACGGTTTATTCATGAAAACGTTTCAGGGGTCACATTGCACCAGCTACAGTGAAATGTGTGGGAGAAGAGATGGGAATGATATGGATTACCAATAATATTTAAAGAAACGCGTTTGGCGGTTTATCAATTTCCAAATTTTCGGAAGCAAATGAAATGATAATGAGGTTGCATGTTGTGCAGTTCAGCCTCCTCGAGGTCCTCGGAGCAGACGGGCCAGCGTCGCGTGCAGACGGTCCCGGCGCCGCGCCGCGTCGCCCAGCGCCAATCGATGCCCCACTTGTCGCGCACGTTGTTTGCGGCGACTTTCTCGAGGATAATCGCGAAGCAAATGAAGCGCCTCGTATCGCCGGAGCCGCCAATCAGGGCAGCCGCCCGTTCGTTGGTGGCTGTTTTTTTGTGGACGAGCTCAAGGTGTACTCTCTTTAGGAAGGTTCATTTTTGTCCTTCAATGTTGTTTTCCCCTTTGTAACACGGGCTTCACGACGTCGCAACTTCGTGATGTTTTGATGTAATCCTCTATACCTGCGCATGTTCTTATCTTCATTGTCGCCCCAGATACGCTTTCCTCTGTACGTTGACCCATTTTTACAAGTACAGACATTCGTCGTAGATTCTGACCTTGGCGTGAAAAATTATACATCATCATTGCAACATTTCCCCACATTTCTAATACGTTTAAATCTTAAGAGTTCATACTTCTCGTATTCTTTGAAATGTTTTGCATAATATTATAAAACTGAAACTTGTATTCTACTAATTATGCAACACTCTTATACTCCTATCGAAGCGCGGAAGTTAAAAAAATACATATCGAAATTTTGAACTGCAAAAGTTTGAATTCAATGGCCCGGAAACCCGGGATATGACATCAATGTCGATGTATACAAAACATCGATGTTTTTCGTTAAATCGATGTATTTTAATATAGATTTTTTAAGCCAATTTTTTCACATTGATATTTTGTGTTCAATGTTTCTACGTGGTCGATATTTTTTTAAATGGAAAAAAGTCCATCAAATGTCCATTATTATTGAATCGGGTAATCAAAATGTTATTTATCCTGATGATTTTTTGACTTTGTTTTGTCAGTTAACCGTCAATTGAAAATTAAAAAACAAGACCACTTTCGAATTAAATTCCTCTCGAGGGAACTTCAATGGCCACTGATCCAGTTTTAAAAACATGAATGTTTAATAACCTCAATGGTTTGGGATCGATGTTTTATTAACATCTAAGTTTAATTTTGAACATTGAAGTTTCTAAACGTCCGTCAACAAAATACGATGTCGCACCCCCAGTATATACCGCGTCCGTTTGTGTATTTTTTTTTTTGCTACGACGCTGTCTCATAGTTGCCATAGTTCGAACACCAAAGATGGAATATTGTCTCAGTTGTACTACACATTGCGTGATAACGACTTGTATTTTGGAAAATTAAATTATTCTGTAAAATTATTTAACAATAAGATTTTGAAGAATTTATTGCATTAAGAAGTCTGTTTCCATACTGAAGTTGTAGGAGAACGTCAATACACACTTGAACTGTTGCAAATTGGAGGTTTTAATGAAAATTAAACTCGTATAATATTTATAAGAGCACCTTGATCTGATCGAGCAAAGAAATTAAAGACAAAATTGTGAACCATTTGTAAAAAAGTTTCGAAAAGTCGTAGGCACTATTTGTAAAATAGCCCTCACCCCCCAAAAAAGAAACATTTCAAATTCGGAGGCCTTCAACTTGTCTAGAACGATTGGGGAATTTCCCTTTTGGGGGGGGGGGTCCTATGTACGGTTTCAGTGCTGGTGTTGACGGACAGTCGTAAACAAACTACTTTTTGGGTATCTGGGACTCCCAAAACGGGTATTTTCTTCAAACTCTAGACAGCGAGTTTTGTACCATTACAAAACTTTTTCATACCCCACGTATATTAATATACGAGAAAGTCAAAGAAGTTGTGCGTGACACTATTAACCTATTATTCGTTGGCATAAATGTCAAATTATTTCGAATCGTGTAGCCACACTTGAATCTATTTTTAAATAATAATTCAAGATACGGTGTAAACACTGATTCTTTCCTTTAAATCATTCTCTTGAGAAATAGGACGGAAAAGCTCCACGCATTGATCATTATTTTGAAGAGCTGCTTGGAAATTCCGGGGATGGTGCTGAATACAGTTGAATTGACATAGGAGCCTCTTGCGTCTGGCGTGTGTAGCATTTCGACAGCTGAATGAGGAACTTTCACGCTCTGTTGCTCGCATCCCGTGCATGGACGTCAGAGCGATTCTTTTTTTCCCCCTAGCATCGCGCACGTGTACGTTCGGTACGTCTATTGACAGGAGACCGACAAACGCGGTTTGTGGTGTAGTGTGTAGGCGTGTTATCTCACTATGTTTTGTTCGCGTCGACGCGGCTTTCGTGCACAAGCGAAAAACAAGCCCTGGTGTGGCGGCGGCGGCCACGCTGGTGGTGGTGGTGGTGGTGGTGGCGGCGCCGCGCCCCCTTTCGCATGGTTTGGCGGCATTTTCTCACGCCTCGTGTGCGTGCACGCTCCCACAGTACGCGCCCCTGCGATACATGCACTCGGCGTTATCGTCCGGCGCTCTCCCAGGCACCCGGGCTCTTGGTCGCCAGGCAGTCGCCCTCGCCCTGATCTTCGGCAGACATTGGGTGCATAAGCAGTCACCCATTGCCCCCCCCCCTCCCCCACTGGGTACTCATAATATTTAAGCAAATTCCATGTTCATAAGTATGTAAAATTATTATTAAATTTTTAATTGTAGAGGTTGTGGTTTAATTTATTTTCTTTTTGTTTACGTACATTCAGTATTCAGTCATTTGAATATTATGAACGGGCCTCCTATATAATGAGGTCACGTTTAGTGCCATGTAATCCGGCCCCGTAAGAAGCCTTGTGCGAGAGGATGTGAGGGGCTCTTCGCCCAGGCGGCGGTGAGCCTCTACCTTCGTGTGTATGCAATTTGTTAGTTTCGTTTCGTCAGGTTGCGTTCTGAAAAATTCC